AGAGTTGTGCGGGAGCCGCGTCGGCGCGTATCGACAGTCCTACACCGAACTCCTCCAGCAAGGGCTCAGCGTTCGGGCTCTCTAGCTGGTGGTCGTCGGCCACCTCACGAACAGTTGTCGTGTGTCCCCACCCTGACGACGACGGCAGGCAAGCGACGGTTGTTGTGCGATCATCGAAGTCTCCAGCTCCAGTTCGGGAGGCATTGGGGAACAACAGGGATCCTCCGAGGCAGCAATTCTGGTCGCCGTTTGTGTCGAGGGGTGCCTCCGCTCGCCCCCAGTGGATGCAGTCTTCGTCTCCCCTATTCGCCGGTTTGAGTGCGGCCCGCCATCATTGCGAATGCGGGGAGACGGATTCTGCCTTTGACGATATTGGTGACGAACGGGACGGGAGGGAAAGGTGGGCAGAACACCAGCGGGAACTCCAGTCGGGCCGCGAGGAATCCATATCTCGGGGGGTGCAGCGACTGCGTGTGGGGGGGCACGAAAAGGAAAGGAGGCACCAATTCTGGACGCGGATGATCACAACGACGATGACAACGACGATGACAACGACGGAGAAGGTGGGGAGGAGGACGAAGGCTATGTTTTACTGTTCAGGCAAAACAGCATGGGAGGCAGGGGTGGGAAGACGAAGGCGTCTGCCCGCAATGGTCGTCAGGGGAAAAAAAAGTGGCGCGGAAGGGGAGCGATGCCGACGAGGACAGTGACGCGGAAGGAGGTCGACACTTCTGGTCCGTCTACCACATTTTAGCCCTCATCAGGGCTAAATGTGACCAGGATGCGCATATGCAGGGGATGTGTCAAAAGACTAACACGCGAAAAACTGTTTATCCAGGAACCGAAATATGCAGTTTTTTTATTGTCTCAAAAGATGATGTGTATAGTCTTATAAGTCTTGTAGCATGGCGAACGTGTTTGAAGGTTTCATAAGCAGACTAACATGTTATCTTATTTGTGATTATGTTTGCCTTAACATGTTCTCTCTTTTATGAGCAACCTTTCTTTTTAGATTTTTTGTTGGCTTTCCAATTAGGGGATCTCATCATGAACTTCATTATGTAGAAATTACGAACTGACAAACTTTTCAAGAATCGATTTTGGGGAAACTATGGCTGTGACACATTTTTAGTTTGAAATATTTGGCAAAAAAAGACATTATGATAGTAGTGCTAGTGTTATGGTGTGAGTTTCAAAATATATAAGTTTAATGGAGGTCTAAAACTGCACCAGTCACTACCTGCACTGGCGCGTGGCAGATTTAGGGTTGCCTTTTTTTGCTCTATTTCGGGAACAATTACTGGTAAAGTTGCCTATTTTGAATGTTGGGTGTGACTCCAACGGACTTGCCTTTTTTTGGGGGGGGGAAGTCATAAAACCTCCCCGCGAAGAACTTTTTGTATTCATTTCCCCCCAAACAGAGGAAAAAATGTAGCAAGTTCAAAATCACTTTTGACGTCATTTTTGCACCCTAGTCGGGCCGGTAACAACTGCTGTGTAAAAATAGCGGACCTTGTTTTTCCACCGTTAATTCCAAATTGTGACTCTTTTTGCTCCGATTTTCCCTTGGTAGCTTATTTCTCTTATAGACCCTCTCATGACTCTACTTTCTCTAATCTGGTTGGTCCGAGATATCTTAGACTGCAATCCACACCCTCCTTTCCTCATTGCTTGAGTTATTTCCCCTCTACGGCTCTCCCGCTTGATCCCACTAGTGTTACCGCTATTGACGCTTGTATTTCGAGCCGTTAGATTTTGATCTCGATGATGCATCTCTCTTTGATTATTCATCCTTCATGATGGCCCCATAGTTCTCTTGGGATCATATCATGGCATCGGCGTCACTCTGCTTGTTGCTTCTTTCAAACTAAAAGCGTGCCACAGTACCCCAAACAAAAATGAAGATGCCTCTTGAACCTCCAAATCCGAGAGCGCCTGAATTCAAGAGCATAATATGGGGGAAGTATTCTCTCAACAAGCTTTTCACGTCTTTAGACACTCGGGCATGCTCCTAAGTTTTTTGGGGGATTCGAGAGTGGTAATGCAAGGCCCGATAACTCGAGGCCGTCCCCCTTTTTTCAAGAAACAAGAGAAAAAAGAGGGGAAAATTAGAGAGAAAAAAAAAAAGAAAAAGGAAAAAGAAGGACAAAGAGCAAACACAATAGCACTAGGCCTAGCTCAGTTGGTACACCCACAAACTGTTCAAACACGGACCCGAGTTCAAATCCAGATACAATCACATTACCATAATAAAATCATTCCGAAAACTACCTAGGGCTGGTCAGTTTCATGTTGACATCTCTATGCCATCTCCTTTTTTTTCCTAAAAGAGGTAACTATGGAGCAGTCATGGGGCTTTGGCGCACTACGCTTGAATCGTGACAAATCAAGTGTTAGTCATTACTGCCCTAACTCTTGAGGCAGCAACACAAATTCTCATTCAAGAGTTGTCAAATGCACTCTTGAAAACGTCGAGAGAAACACTCTCGAAAACGTCGAGAGTGCATCATCAGTGCATTAACTTTAGAAAGGTGCTCTCCATCTCTCTCTCTTCAAGAGTTGTCCAAAACCGCTCTTCTAACCAATACTTGACAATTCTACAGTGCCCGCCTGGCGCCTGCAAGGCCGTTTTTTCTAAGGGAGGGTGCTAGGACCCCTCACGCGGATGAAAATGTCTAGAGTGGATTTCCAGTCTGGGAAGACGAACGGCCGAGGCATTGTCCTGTAGTGTTCTGTCTCGTTTCAAGAGAGTGTTTCACGGGAGCACTTGCGGCCATTTCTTTAATCTGACTGCTCGCGATGAACGCTTCAACTTTTTCGTATCTCTGAGTTCACAACTTCACATTAGTCTACCGAGGCCCATGATTTCATGTTGGGGAAACTTCAGAGTCACAAGAACGAGTTATAATTGCACTACGGGCCAAGATACAATGTGCAATTGCAGTTTCGCGCACCCTACCTAGCCAGGAAGCTGGGTTGTATACATTGCCCGAACTGCAATTGCAAACTATATCTTGGCCCATACTGTGACAGTCTGCGCTTTCTTTCTTTTTTTTTTGCGGGGGGGGAAGGGGGGGGGCTGCAGTTGAAGCATCATTTTGGTTGACGGTGTTCCCGCTACCAGGTCTACAACTGAGATTGGAACGATAGAAAGAAGATAAGCATGACCCCTGCGCAAGGATGACAATGAGACTGAACACTCTTCCCAATTATTGTCAATGGTAATATGCATGTCTTCCGGGGAATTCTACTGGGTAGTCACAGTTCCACCCTTCCTCCTCCTCCTCTCTCTCTCTCTCTCTCTCTCTCTCTCTCTCTCTCTCTCTCTCTCTCTCTCTCTCTCTCTCTCTCACACACACACA